CATGCTAACATGTAGAGAAATAGGGAAACTATGGTCTCTGTCCTTTAGAAGTTTATAATTAACCATAATCTCTGTATTTGCTGCCAGACTTGACAATAAGAAGTGCCTCCAGTTTCAGAAAGTGTTGGAAGACAGTTTAACTTCTTTAATACTTCACTAATGATTACATAACTTACTACGGTCCTTCATCCTAGCTTTGAATATAATTACTGCTGATTGACTTACTCATCTCTCCTTTTACATATTTATATTAAAGTTTTTTTATATATATAAAGAACCCTATAAACATTCACATTAGACAAAGACGGCTCCAAGACCAAATGCATAATTATAGTTGGTGACTCTTTAAAATCTTAGCAGACAGCCACCCACATTTTCAATATTTATCGACCACCTTTTACATGTCTGTGTCCAAAAAAGTAAGAGACACATTGTCTAAATCTATGAGGAGCTACATCACAAAAGTAACATACAAAGCTTTTTGCATGATTAAGTCAATTTCCAAAAATATCATGTAAATATAAAATGCAAATAAAAGCTCATATGGGTACATTAAATGCTTACAAATATTTGATTAATTTTCATTTGACAATAGTTACACAATTTCTCTAAAATTAAGACAGTTACCTCAATATATGTTGATGTTAAAGTAGAAATTGAGGAGAAAGAAATTCCATTTGGACTCAATAAGCAAATGACTTACTGAAGGGATGTCAGCTGCATTCCATTACTCCTTTCCATATTGCTAACTAAATTATATACTCATTAGTTTACTGTGCTAATAAATGAGAGGCTCAAAAATTTACATGCTTTTACAAGTGAAATATTTTCATGGAGCCAACGGGAAGCCTGACTAATTTGTGTTAGATTTAAATCCTCTGCCTTTTGTAATGACTAATAGTAGGAGACAATGAAAGAGTCATCAGCTTCTAATTCTGACGTGGCCAACGACTCAGCAAGACGATTTGTGAAGCTCTCTTACCCCATCGGTCTGCATCTCCTCATCTGGAAAAGGATAAGACAACTCTGATTCTTGGGGTTCTTCCTAGTTCTGTGATTCTGTACCATAAGATAAAGATTCTAAGGGGTTTTATATTTGTAATGTCATCTTATAAAATTTATTTGATGTTATTAAAGCATATTCATATAAGATCAAGGTAACTTAAGGACTGAAGCGTAGCCTAGGCTGAGAAGCACTCCAGGGCCAAGACCCATGCTATAGCTGCAGTAATTAATTTGCTGAGCTCTCAAAGGAGAATGGGACTGATGATATATTATCATGAGATATGATAATGTAATTGAAAATGCTTTGAAAACTATGTGGGGCTATATAAATGTCAGGTATTAGGCATAATTATTTTCTTCTCTATTTATGGAGAGAGCAACTTATAGAATTGACTTCAACAAAGCCATGTAATAAGTCATGGACAGTTGGGAAGAAAATATACTTTTTTTCTGATATTCCTTCCATTCCTTGCTCCCACCAATATTTATGGAGCTACTTCTAAAGTATTACTTTGGAAATTAAAGAGTTGTCTAAGATGATACTACTATCCTCAGCAAGTTTGCAGTCTAGTAAAAATGTATGAAACAGCATTATCTATTTTTCTCTCATTATTTTGTGGGTAGAAGATTAATTTTTCTGACTAGGTTTTATGTTCTTTGAAGTCCTAAACCAGACTTTTGTTTCTTTTGACCTCCTTCACTATGTTCAACAGACTATAGGGAATATTGATCCTAAAAATATATTCTTTGATGGAAAAATAAAAAAGTAATCCCTGTGATAGGGTTTAGACCCTCCAAGGAGGGGGTCTAAAGTTACTACCATTTTTATGTTTAAAATTTTCTCTAGTGCAACTCAACAAGACATGTAGACACTTAGGATTCCATAGCTTTTGAAATGATACTGGTCTAACAACCAAAAATAATAATACAAAGGTAACAGCCAACTTTTATTGAGGGATAATTATGTGCCAGACACTGTGCTATATGTTTATATTCATTACCTTATTTACTCCCTACAATAATCTTATTGAGTTGGAACTTATCCTCTTTACAAATGAACAGACTGAGGTCTAGAGATGATAACCAAAGTCACATGGACAGTGAGTGGCAGAGCTAGACACTGAGTCCAAGAAGTATATTTGCCAACATCTGAAAGGGAACACGATTACTGGGAGCTGAAACTACCCCATTTACCACATTTAAATATAGTTAGAATTTTTAGATCAGACTAGACCAGCGGTTCTCAGTGGAGAAGTTTTGCCACCCAGGGGATATCAGACAATGTCTGAAGACATCTGTGGATGTCATGACCGCAGAAGTGCTATCAATGCCACCGATGCTGCTTAACCAATCTTCCAGTACAGAAGGGAGTAGCCCCCCACAACAAATAATGACCTGGCCCAAAATGTCAGTAGAGAAACCCTAATCTAGACTTGTCTTTTCATGCCAGAATGGTAATGTTGTAAATCACTGACTTCCTTCTAACGGCTCAGGCGGTCACGAACACACATGACCTGAGAGGCCAGCACAAGAGTTCAGGTAAAGGTGAGGATGCAGTGTGGGATCCCACAGCGTCCACGGGAGGCAATGCAATGGGGAGTGTGGTTTTTTTTTCCCAGAAGGTAAGAAGAGCATTCTCCTTTGCCATTTATTACTATTTGGTAGAATTTGGAATTTGTAAATGCTTGGTTTATAGTTCATCTACTCCCCACCCACACACTTCTTAATTTAGACCAGTGTCCTATAGTTTTTAAAATATAGCTGAAGTCTTTCCTATATTTGAGACTCTTTCCATCTAAGTTATATGGCTTTATCTATGAGTAGCTAAGATAAATAGCTGCAGCAATTTCCTCGTACTTAAAGTCACATTTCTTGATAATCTCTGGATTTTCAGGGACCATTAGAGATCCCTGTGTGAATCTTGGAATAATGAAAAGTACATTCTAGCAAATTCTTTAGGTACTCTGCCATTGCTACATCGATTTAGAAACACATTTCTAAATCAAATTTTTCTCTCTTTTCGGGCAATTTTAACCTGTAATAAAACGAGTCTTAACAAAAATGCCCTTTGCAATCTAACTGCTCAGGTTTGAGAACAGTGGGGCAAATTGAGAATTAATTAAAATTTCGAAGCCATAGTGCTATTTTGCTTATTCCTAAATTGTGCTTAAAGTAGGGATTGATTTCTACAACATAGTGAAACAACTCGTCCCCCTTCCCATGCCTTTTCAATAAAAAATATGGATAGTGTGTATTCAGAGAATAAGCTTACATAATGTACTCATTAAATGTTTTTTATGAAGCCATAATGATATCCTATTACAGAATCTATGTTCTCTAAGTCATCTTTAAAACTTTTAAACATACCTGAATAAGACAGAAAACCAACCAATACTGAACTCATTAGTGTAATTTATGTATTCATAAAACTGATAATAGACATTTATTTCTAAATATCCTTAAAGCACAGGTAATAATGGAGCCAGCCAGCAATCTGCCACTTGCAATTAATCACTATCTTCATATTTACAACATTCAATTTTTCTTGCTATTTGAGAGAGTAATGATTAATTGATAAAAGTTTAACAAGTGCACTAATAGCAGGTGCTCTTAATTGCAAAGCCTTCAGAATGATTCTCCCCAAATCTACTTTATGCTAATTTGTACAGCATTAGTCATAACACTTTATGATTTTACTTTTAAAACAACTTTTCTTTTAGTCACCCTAATTTAATTAAGAATTTTAACTAGTTACATGTATCAAGAACACCAATGAATTTTACATTTGTGAGTTTGATTACCATAAGAGATTAACAAGAAGACTCATAAAAATGCACGGCTGCCAATTAGAAGCATCAACACTGTGTAAATTAGAATTTGTTAATTGGTTTAGCAAATGTAAATTCAATTTTTTGAAATTTTATGAACTGAAAAATTGATTATATTTTTGTGAGCCTCCAGAAATATCTTATTAGGGCTGATATTTGTTTCAGTAGTTTCTGAGATTATACTTGTATTTTAGCCATAAACATTTCTATTTCATTGAGTTCAAAAATATCTGATTATAGCATTCATTGTTCATCCACACATGTTTGCCCCTCACCATCCACAGTATTAAATGAATGCTTAAGTACACATTTTTCTTTCATCTGTCTTTCCTCTCAGCAAGACAGATAAAATATGCATTCTAGGTAAGGTTTGTTATTTTGGACTTTCAATATTAAACTGCATATAATTAATTTAGTTTCCTTAAACACTGTGTTTATGACAAAAGCTACAGATGCTTTTACAAAGATGAATATTTAAACAGCATTTCAGGTATGCAGATTAATGCTGTTTGCCTCTAGGAAATAGACCCAGCAACCTTGCATTTTATAAGAGAAGCAGAAGCTATATTTTAGTATGCATTATGAAATGGGGAGGTCTATTAGCAATGTCAGATCAAAATCTATCCTCAAGAAAGCACATACATGGTCTGAGCACCGACCTCACATCACACATGACAGTTACTCCCAGGCTGAGTTGTGTGGCGGCAACAAACTGAAGGCAGAACTGAGGACAGGCCCCCAATAGTCTCATGGCTAAGTCTCCATACTGTAAATGAGGAGCTGGGGAAATAGAGCATTGGGTTGTTCTGTGGACTCAGCACTCTATTTTCCAGATCATGTAATTCATTTGAGAGTAACCACAAACTCCCTGTGCCCCTCAACTTTTCCTGCCCCTCCCAGAACTATTTTTGAAAATCACAATGCTTGAGAATCTCTCCTAAAGGTTCCAAACTCAGCAGATAATTATTTGGCTGTTCAAAATCTCTTGCATTCATGCATTATCCTAAATTAGTGTAATTAGATTACTCTATCCCTGATTAGCTCCCCAAGGGAGAAGACACAGGATAAGAGCACAGGCTAAGGGATCATCAACTTGTGCTGTCCCCTTTGATCAAGGGGGACAGGAAGGGACCTGACATGGTAGAGAACATGCATAAAGTTCCCTACCTTGTCTTCTTTAAGCAGGAACTGGGGCCCAGACGGCTAAATGTAGGAACCAAGTAGCAGCAAGAAGGCATCCCGCCCAGAAGGGTTGCTGTGGGAACTGAGGTAACAAGAGGTGAGGCTGTTACAAATCAGAGGGATGGTAGGAAGAAGAGCAGCCATGACTACCAAGAAACACAGTAGCTTTGTTTTTTCACCCTGGTTCTCTCCTCCTTGTTACACTCTTCCCTCCCCAACACGGTCTTCATGTTATACTAGTTTAAAAGAAAAAGAAAAAAAGGGCAAACAACCTCAGTTTCCAAAAACTAAAGTTAGCCTAGTACATTTCAATATTAGTGGAACATTATGCAGTTATTAAAATAACACATGTGTATATATACATGGAAATATGTTCCCAATTTATCAATTCGTTGAGTCACCAAATATTGCTGAATGTCTATGGTGTGGCAGGCTCCAATCTAAGCGCTTCAGCAGTAAATAAAGCAGACCTGTCCTCATGAAGCCTGCGTTCTACTGAGAGAGCCAGAAAAGTAAAAACTAACTCAACCAGCAAATATATCATTTCAGGAGTGTGAATTGCTATGAAGAAACATAAAGCAGGTGGGGATGACATTTGAATAGATATAGAGATAAAACAGAGAGATAAAAGAATTCCCTGCAGATGGGAAAGTCAGGGTAAAAGCTCTGAACTAGGAATAAGAAGACCAGACACACAGGTGGGAAGAAATACCAAGGCTGGCAAGGAAAGGATATAAGAGGTGGGGCAAAGAATGGAGAGGAAAGGCTGCAATGATGTTGGAGATACTCTAGCCCCCTCGCCCACTTATCCTTTCTGAGGATGGTTCCAAGAAAGGACATTCATCTGCCCTGAGCTGGTGGGGGTTCTGGGTGGAAGAAGGCAAATGGATACCACGTGATCTCACTTATATGTGGATTCTAAAGAACTGAATAAATGAGCAAAATAAACAGAAATAGTCTCAGAGATATAGAGGAAAAATTGATGGTGGCTAGATGGGAGGGGGGTGGGGATGAGGGAGAAGGGGAAGGGATTAGAAAGCATACACTGGTAACTACAATATTTCCACGAGGATATGAAAGATAGTTTGGGGAATATAATCAATAATTTTGTAAAGATTTTGTAGGGTGTCATACGGGCACGTGTCTTCTTAGGCAGACCACTTCATGGAAGGTGTAGATGCTTAACCACTGCACTGTGCACCTGAAGCTGAAGCTGAATAATATTGTATGTCAACTATAATTTTATTTATATATATATATATATATATATATATNTATATATATATATATATATATATATACATGGTCACAGGATGTGGAGTATAGTATAGGGAATAGAGTCAATGGAATTGTAATAGATACATACGATGTCAGAGGGGCAACAGGTTGGAGGAGGGGGGTTATCACTTTGTAGGGGGTGAAATGTCTAACTATTACATTGTTTTATACACCTGAAATTATAATAATAATAATAATAATAATAGAAGGCAAGTGGTGTGCTCTATACATGTGAATAACCAGGGGTGTGGCATGCATTGTCTGGTATCCAATGGATAGCTTATAAGTGTGCCTGAGCCCAAAATGTTTCATTAAAAGTAAAACACTATGTGGCCAGTTAGTTAAATCTGTGGGCTGTCTGTGGCTTTTGGCTGGAAGTTTTTACCCTCTATTTTAAACCCATTTACTGAACATTCCAGGACTGACTGTGGCTGGAGGAATTGGGAAACCGTGTTGCAGTCAATAGAAACTCCTGGGGAGCCCACCAACTTGCTGATTCATTGCTCTTTTTCCTCTTTTCTAGGTGTACCCTAGGACATTTTCTCTAGTAATAGAAGCCCTCTGTAAGTTTCACCACTTTGAACCTCCTTTCATAACATGGTACTGGTAACTGTTAAAGTCTGCTCCTATCAATACAGGGACTCTAGCTCTCCACAGTCCAGTTAGGGTTTTGGGGGGATATCCTGGGCAAAGCCATTCTACTTGAAAACACATTCTTAGGCTATTAATGAGGAGAATAATGTTTATCTTCCCCACAGGGTGGTGTGATGACTGATTAATAAATGCTTATAGGGCATTTTGAAGATTACTGGTGTCAGCCATTATTGTGATTCTTACTAGCTGATCCTACAATCCAGAATTAGAATGAGCACTGGGTTACCTCTTTCATCATCTGTACATATGTTCAATCCACTGGAGGAATTAAATTTAAGCCTGGCCTAATAAATTAATGTTTATGAAGCATGTTGTGAGTCTCAACTGCTCTCAGTGCCAAGTGCAGTTATGAGAAACATCATAGCTTGGGTTTGAACTTTGTGGTAATATTACATTCTGATCAGCTTCATTTACATTACAGATCAAGTACTCGGGGTCTCATTTCTATATTCTGTGCAGTGCCCGGTAGCCTGCTGGCATATCATAACTATCCAATAAAAGCACTAATAAAGTTGTAATATCCTTTCCTTTTCTCTTGATTTGCTTCCATATTTTTAAAAAAGTAGACTAGATAGGAAGGGAAAATGTCGTCTTATTCTTGGCAAAAGATGACTCAAAATCTTTGCTAATGGGAATACGGAATTTTCTTTCTCCTGCTTACCAGTCAGGAAAATAAAAACTATTTACTCTGGGAAGTCTGGTTGTATCACTCTTAAATCATTTATAGTTCACTAAGTGCTTTGAATAATGGAGGAGCTAGGAGGGCCCCTGATTTAATTTTGTGTCCTGTATTTCTTTAGTATCTTTATGCTTTCTTGCATTTAGGGAAATAGCACAGAAGAGAGAGTTAAAGATGATTTTTTTTTAAAGAAAGCTATTAAAAGCTTTTACAAGGGACTTGAGCTTTAATAAAACCTCTCTGTATGCAGGAAGGCCAAATCTCCAGGGATTTGAAAAGAGGCAACCTCAAAGTTAAACATTTAAAGAGCAAACTAAATTTATGAGTTTAACATCCCTTTCTTTCTCCTCTCACCCTTATCCTCCTTATAATAAATAAAAGATTGGGTCAGCATATTTCTTTAACCCCAAATCTCCAGTATCACAGTATTGAATTATAAGAGCAGATATTTGTCTGACATTTAAGTTTATAAAATGCTATATTACATATGTATTAGTTTCCTATTGCTGCCATACCAAATGACCATAAATTGAGTGGTTTAAAACAACAGCGCTATTTACTATTTCACAATTCTGTAGGTCAAAAGTACCGGCACAGGTTGGATTAGGTGATTCTCTACAGCAGGTTTCACAAGGCTGAAATCAAGGTATCTGAAAGGCTGTAGTCCTCTCTTGAAACTCTGGGCATGAATCCATTTCCAAGCTCATTCAGGTCGTTGGCAAAATTCAGTTTCATGGAGTTGCAGGACTGTGGTCCCTGTTGCTTTATGGCTGTTGGCCAGGGGTTATTCTCAGCTTTTACAAGCCACCCACATTCCTTCACTAATGGCCACCTTCCTCATCCGCAAAGCCAGCAATGGTGGAGCAAGTTCTTTCCAAGCCTTGAATCTTTCTGGTCTCCCTTTCTGCCATTTCTAATTCCCTCCTAAGAGAACTCTCCTCTTCTAAGGGCTCATATGATTACATTTGGCACATCTGGATAATCCGGAATCTCACCATATCAGGGTCTATAGCCTCCATTATATCTCCAAAGTTTCTTTTGCCATGTCACATCACATATTCACAGGTTCCAGGGATTATGGAATGGACACTGTTGGAGGGGAGATCATTTTCCTGCCTATTATTCTATGGAATTATCATACTGGCAAGAAAGACACTGTTATCCCAGTTTTATAGGTGAAGAAATGCAGGTTCTCAGTAGCATAAGTGATTTAACCCAAGTCACAGAGCAAATAAATGGCAGAATCTAAGAGTAGTGACTAAAATCATTTTGTTATTTGTTCTTTTTATTCTTTGCTTTTAATGAATATTAAAAGGGTGCTTAGGAAGTGTCAGGTTCTGTACTAAACCTGGAATACAAGTATGAAAGATGAAATGTCTGCACGCAAGAGGTTCACAATCTTTCAGGCTAACAGACAAATATGCAAGTGATTTTCATATCATTTGTGAAGGCTTGGTCAAGAACACAGAAGGAATATAATCTCAGGGAGGGAAAGGAGTGGGCACTAGAAAAGACTTCCCTATGAGGTTATCTTTGAAAGGCTTTTCGAGGACAAGTAGGAGATCATTAGTTAGATATCCCAGGTTTAGTGGGAACAGCATGTGCAAAGTGTTGATGGCAAGAAAGGCTAGGGCGCCTTCAGGAGCCAGCAAATGTGATGAAGACCACTGGTGGAGAAGAACGGGCAGGGAAACTGTAAAGGTGGGTAGAGCTAGACTGTGAAAAAAATGTAAACACATGCCCCTCCTTACCATGGCAAGGAAGAGCAGAAGCACTTCATCCAGGTTTGACATAATCTAATGTACAATTTAGAAAGATACAAAATGAGAAGATTCAGTTAAATGGAGGCTGAGATGGTAAGAACAGTGACCATCACATTCGAGGCTCTTACTAGATATTTTGAGGGTTACAAAAATATAAATTATACATTTCATCCTTACAAATTTTTTCATCTTATGTCAGAACTCTTTTGGTTGCAAAGAGCAGAAAGCCAATTCAAATTATCTTTGGCCAAAGGAAAATGTGTTTATCCATACTACTGAAAATCATGAGGATATTTGGCTTCAGGTTGAGCCAGATTCAGGAGCTCACATGATGTCATTAAGTATCTCTCTCTCTCCGTCTGTCACTTCTGACCTCTTCTTTTTGAAATCATTTCAGAGCACTTTCCTTTATGTTGTACCAAAGATGGCCAGCGGCAATTCAAGGTTTTGACTTTACAGCTAGTAATCCCAGAGAAAAGAGCATTTCCTGTCTCTCAGAATCCATGTGATTCTGAAAAATGACTCTGATTGGTCTGAATTACACATGACCACCCATGGACCAATCACTGTGGTCTGCAATTTGACTTGGGAGCTTTTTAACAGTTCATAAAGTCAAGACTGCTTTAATAATAATATGAAGGGGTCATTTTACTTTTTTTTCCCTATGTTGGCATGTAGTCATGGTGCAAAAGCAATGGTGGATCAAAT